AGAACAAACGTGGACCTGGCTGAAGAGGTCAGCAGAAGTGATGTGAGTTCCTTCAAGGTCGCAGATACGCCTTCTGATTGGTGAGTGCCAACTGATGAAGCCACGCTTCCTACCGATTGCTTCCAACTATCTAACATCAACAGTTCACACTGCACCATGATAGCGAGCCATCTAGCTTGATGGTGGCCACATTGCAAACTTGACTGACTGATAGAATTCAGTCTGCACACACACACACACACATTACACTAGTTATTGACTAGTGTCCAATGAAATTATCATATAAAGTGAATATATCATCAACATGCCTAGTGTATAGTGTCATTTTGTTTGATTGTATCTCTATAGTTGTAAGCAGTTGATGAGATATCGATGAAATAAAATGAATCTGTTTTATTTTGCTTCATGTGTTATTGTTGTTATTTTTGCTTTGTTGAAATCCCATTTTTATTGGTGTTTAAAGAAGATTCGTATGAAAATAGCCAGCTGGAACTATCTACGTCGTCCTCATCCTATTAGACAGAATGATGAAAACTGACTCGGTCAGTATCTCGTATCTGTTTAGAAATTCTCCCATAGGCAAAACTTTTCTGGTAGATGTGATTTATTTTAGGATTTCATCATGAGCTCACATTGGCTAGAGAACTACTGGAAAACCTGGACAATTGTTTCGTCGGCCTAGTTTGGGACTTTTCGCCAATACGCAGCTGCTCACCAACGGGGTTAGAACCCAGGAGCTTCAGGTTACAAGGTGATGAGTTCGCAGACCATTAAGCCACTGAGACTTGATTCAATGGCCCATGAATTCTAACTTCTGCCAATTCACTACATAACGCGACCGCTAGCCAATGTCTTCGGTAAGTATTTGTTCTCACACCCGACCTGATGCACCCTACTAGTCACGAATTCCCACTAGAACCCCAGGTAACTACCCACCTGAATAGTTCCAGTCGCCAGTGAGCATATCATCGATATTCAAGTGTTGGTTTGTAGGGATTTGATTGATTGGTTACAAGATTTCATCATGAGTTGACATTGGTTATAGAACCATTCGAAAACCTGGGAGTACTGGAGTCCCAAACTAGGATGAAACAACTCTCTAGTACTCCCAGGTTTTCCGATGGTTTTATAACCAATGTCAACTCATGATGAAATCCTTAACCAATCAATGAAATCCTTACAAACTAATACTTGAAAATTTGATTTATGCTGACGAAATGGTGTGATCTGTGAATTAAGAAAAAAAATGTAGTCCAGTCTGCAGATAGTGTCAACTTTACTTTATCATGAATTGTATTTGAAAGCATCTGACAGGATCATTGAGAAAAATGTTCTTTTCTGCGACTTTACGAATGCAAGATGATGGTACAGGACTGGACTACATCGACGCCTAGTTTAAAAATAGGAAGTGAAGTGGTAGAGCACATTGACCGCTTCACTTATTCGGGAAATTGCATCAGCCAGTGCCGACGGGTTGATCTCTGACGAAATCTCATTACGAATACCGAAGGCTCGTTACGCATATGCCAGTTTACGCCGACTCTGGCGTAGACGAGATATCTGACTATCGACCAAAGGGCGGGTGTACTGCTCATCAGTCCCCTCCGTCCTCCTTTATGGTTGTGAGACCTGGCCACTGAGAGTGGAAGACATGAAAAGACTAGCTGTCTTTGATCATAGGTGCCTGCGCTCTATTTCCCGTGTAAAGTGGCATAATAAGGTGAGCAACATTGAGGTTAGGCGTCGAGTGTTAGGTAAGCAGGGGAAATCACTCGACGAAGTTGTGAAGTTACAAAGACTGAGATGGTTAGGACATGTGTTTCGTATGCCTGGTCATCGCCTCCCTCGACGAGCAATGTTAGCGGATATAGGGTCAGGCTGGAAAAAAGCTAGCGGCGGTCAAACCGAAACATGGCTTTACCAGTCAATGAAATCTACAACAGTTGGTCTAAGCCACGTAGGAAGGTGTAGACTGCTTCCTGGCTGGGGTCCTCGGGACGGTAAAAATCTATGGTTGGAAACAATTGGTGATATGGCTCAAAATCGTCCTCAGTGGCTGCAGATGCATCCACTCCTTGTGACTTATGATTTCCAATGAAACTGTTTTGTTCTTCGTTATTACTCCTTTGTCTCACACCTCTGCTCACTGTTTCTATTATGCTTTTCTTGTACTTTCTTCTGTTGCTTTGTGTGCTACAAGGAGTGTGGCGACTTGAACTGGCGCACATTTGTGCAAAGTTGTATGTCGGAAACAGACGGACAGACAGACAGACCTTTACGAATAACCTACTGTAGCCGTCTATTGGTGGTGCACCTTAATTTTAAGGAAATGTGACCTTGATTGTCTAATCCCATGTCTATTTATATATTTGCCTGCTTTTGCAGAGCTGGCTACATAGGACATTTGTCAAAAAGCATATCCCAAGGTGTTTGAGAGCACCTCCCAGGTTGGTTGAGCAAAGGAGAGGAGTACAGAGGTATTAATTCATCAATATTGCAACATATATTGTAGATATTGACCATGCAACCTCTGATACATCGTTTGATCTAGTCTACAAAGTTTGCCAAAAAGGACACGAATGCATTTGCCTTGTACAGTAGAGGTTTTTGCAATACATAATATACGGAATATACACATTGGGTCATAAGAGTTATTAAGAAGACAGTTGCAGCAAAAAAAATTTTCTTTTCGACGAAGTCATCATCTAGGCTGTGCATTCGTGTATATTCATATCAAATAGATGGGAAAGTTCCAGAATAATTTCCGGTTTAGGGTCAAATTAATATAAATTACAATTAGGAATTAAAATGCCATAATAAACAGGGGGGCGGATAAAACTCAAACCAAGTAGCATCATAATTACTAAGAAGATTGACATTGTGCAATTGGGGGTTAGAAATGTAGAAATAACAAAAATAGACAGGATGTTTGGATAAAAAACTAATGCGACGAATAATTGTTTATGCAATCAGGGATTAAATATGTAGAAATAGTAAAATGACAAAATAAACAGGAAGTTCGGATATGAAAATATGATAATGTAAACAGGGATTAAAAAAAATTAAAAATAACGTGAATAAACAGGAAGTTTAGATAAGAAAGTCGATGGGATGGTCATTACTAAAATAATCACCTGTTTATGATGGCCATGGCAGGGACAAGGGTTGGATGTATTTCTTTTGGATACATAGCGTGGGTTTGAGCTTTTGGATAGCTAGTGCCTCGGCTATGCCCAGATGTTTTGATTTCACTCCCTTTGATAGGTTTGATTGAATCTTGTACATTACTTTGAAGGATTTTACGAAAGACGCTGAATGTACATGATATACATAAAGCCAGCACCTCCTGTACAAAAACAATTTATAGCATCTTTTTTGTTACCGTGTTCTTGATCTTACTATGTAATTGGCATAGAAACTTTGTTATCCTTCTTTATTTCATGTTCCATTTATGTATTATTCTATTTCATTATGAGTCACTGTATAAAGTACGTAATTCCTAACCATAACTTTCCTTGTACTGTTCTCTATCATACTTTTAGAAACTTCGCATACCAAATCACAAGATTCTTTAAATAATGGAGTTGATCAAACTTCATCAAAGCCTTCGTCTTTAGCTTCAGATGATGATGATGATGATGATGTGATTATCGTTGATTCACCAGATACTCAAGGTTCAGGCGTTGTACAGTCAGCATCAAACGTTGATGATTCCCAGCAAAATCCAGCCACTTCTTCAGCAGCAGCAGAAGAAGAAGAAAAATTAAAGTCCACTGATGAAAGTGATACGCATAGTACTGATATTCAAAGCGAACGCAGACAAAAATTGATAGCTCGTCTAGAAGTTCTTCTTGTAGTAAGTATTTGTAATGTTATTCTCTTTTATTCCTTTACGTCGTTCTCTGCTAGAGCGTTAAAGTTTCGGTGGCCTTAGTGTTCTGTTTTTACGAGGTGGGGTTGCTAGCCTCATGCCCAACCTCTCCTTATTATCGGTTTATGAATGCGTCGGTCGGTGAACCAACCCCGGACCATATGCATAGTTGGCGAGTACTCTACCGCTAAGCCACACAACGATATACACGCATTAACTGGGCATTGGTTTTCTGAGGAGGACCGAATATACCTCTCCCTGCTTTTTGAGAGACGATACTAGCATGCAGTATCATCCTGTGGCGCAACCACTCGAGAGCCCTCCACCTCGGTAGGCCAGTGCTGTTATCTGCTGGTGCTTCGGTGGCACAGTGGTTAGGAATCTTGCCGACCATGCATATGGTCCATGGTTCGAGCACCCGCCGACGCACACCTGATATCTATGGTTGGCCTAGAAAATTTGGGCTACCGAAATCCATGCTGAAAATTCCATACTTGTACCAAAAATACAGTGTGGAATCAAGCTGTAATCAAAAATAAAATAAATAAAAAATACTTAATAATGACCAGTGTAAACTTATTTTATGAAAGGCAGCCTTGTCGTACGCGTATCTTCTTCACTTCAAACACTTCCGTGAGCTTTCTACTGGGAATTACTTGGTATTTGGCATCATCATAATGTTCTTTCGTAACGTTTATAAACCTGTGTAGCAGCACTGTGTATTGCTGAAGCATTTGCAAAATAAATTCGCGGTCGATATTGTCAAAGGCATTTTTAAAGTTGATAGATTTGAGGTAAAGAGGTGATTAAGTTCAATGACAGTGTGTAATGTAGGAATCTGTTCCGTGTATAATTCGTCTCGTTTTCCCTGAATCTAGCCTGTACTTGACAAAGTTTTCTTTTCAGGATGTTGTGATTTAGTATTTGCGGGGGAGAAGAGCATGATTCCGCATCAGGTTTTGCAGAGGCTTGGGTCACTCCTATTGTGGCAGTTTAAGAAGGTCTGTCTGTCTGGATTCAACATAGAACTTGGCACCGAAGTGCAGCAGTTCGAGTTGCCACGTTCCAAATAGCACACAGAGGTAGACAAGAAGATGAGTGAAGAGAATCAATAGAGTTTGACAAGTATAAGAGTGAAACAGAATGGGTAATGGTAGAAAGGAATATGAAAGATTACAGAGACTGAATACATCTGCGCCATTGACAACGATTTTGAGCCATGTCACCTATTGTCTCCAGCCATTGATTCCTAGAGTCCCGAGGGCCCCAACCCGGGAGTCTGCATCTCCCTACCTGACTCAGTTTAACTGTCAAGGATTTCATGGATTGATGCCATGTTTTTGTTTGGCCACCACTGGCTCTTTTCCAACCTGAACCTATATCAGCTAGCAATGCCCGTCGGGGGAGGCGGTGGTTAGGCATGCGCAGCACGTGACCTAGCCATCTTAGTCTATGTAACTTTATAGCCTCGTCGATTGATTTTCCCTCTTTGCCCAACACTCTACGCCTAACGTCAACATTACTTATCTTGTGAAACCACCTAACGTGAGACAGAGATCGCAGACATCTATGATCGAAAGCAGTCAACCTTTTCATGTCTTCAACGCGTATTGGCCATGTTTCAGAGCCATAGAGAAGGACGGAGCGAACTGATGAGCAGTACACACGTCCCTTGGTTGATAACCGGATGTCACGCCTACGCCAGAGATGGTGTAAGTCAGCGAAAGCAGCTCGAGCTTTTCGGATCCGTGCTGAGATTTCATCGCCAATCAGTCCGTTGGTGCTAATACAACTTCCCAAGTAGGTGAAGTGGTCAACATGTTCTATCACTTCACTCCCTATCACTAAGTTAGGGTTGACGTGGTCCAGTCCTGTAGCAGCATCTTACATTTTGCAGGGGCGAATCGCATGCCAAACATACGAAGATTGCTGCTCAAGGTGTTCAGAAGACTCTGCATTTTGTCAGCATCCTCCCCTAACAGGACTATGTCATCTGCATATTCTAAGTCCATTAGATTATTCCCTGGTAACAAGTCGATTCCTAAGTCACTACGTTCAGTTAAGGATACTTCCATTAGCATATCTATGATGAAGTTAAACAGAAATGGGGAAAGTGGACATCCCTGTCGGACACCACTGGTTGTTACCAATTCAGATGACAATTCCCCATAAGCCCTTACACGACTACGTGAGTTTGAATAGAGTGCCTTGATTAGTGCAATGTACTTTCTTGGCACTCCCTTCACAGTCAGACATTGCCATAGTACCTTTCGATCCACGGAGTCGAAGGCCGCCTTCAAGTCAAGAAATATGACAATTGTTGGACGCCGAAAAGTGTGTCTATGTTCTAGAATCTGTCGAAGAGTGAAGATATGATCTATGCACCCTCTACCTGGTCTAAAGCCTGCTTGATTTTCCCTTGTCTGTTCCTCCCGAGTTCTGCTTAGTCTATGCATGATTACTGAGCCTAGGATTTTAGAGACTATGTTCGTTAGGCTGATCCCCCTATGATTATCACACGAGGACTTGTTTCCCTTCTTGAATATCGGTATAATAAGTGACTTACCCCAGTCTGATGGAACTGTCTCTGATTCCCAGACTTTGCCTAGTACCTCAGTTAATCTACAAACTAGTATGTCACCCCCATATTTAAACACCTCCGGAATAATTCCGTCGGGTCCTGCCGCTTTGCCTCGTTTCAAATTACTGATAGCTTTTGTAACCTCACCTACAGACGGCGGACCAGTGTCTATATCCCATTCGGGTACGTGGTGGATGGCGGGGAGGTTCAGTGTGGCTGTAGGCAAGTTAAATTGTTCCTCAAAGTGTTCTTTCCAGCGTTCAAGGCGTCTATCCTGAGAGCTAATTAAGGAGCCATTTTTCTCAGAAATAGTCTCACTTATGAATTGCCTTCTCCCGCCCGATTCTGTGATGAGTCTAAAGAGTTGCCTAGTGTTGCCTATCGCCAATGCTTTTTCCATCTCTTTCGCCTTTGTCACCCACCACTGTTCACGGTCCTTGCGGAGACTTTTAGTAAGTTTCCTTTTGTGCAGCTTTCGCTCCTCATTGAATTCGGAGCTCGCCGGAATAAGTCTTCTAGCATCTATCAGTTCGGATGAGGCAGTCGAAATCCAGTGGTTTTTACTCACCTTTGGATTTGCCTTATTCACAGCTTTTACAGCTGTATCTATAGCTGACTGAATATTCTTCCAGGCTTCTCCAGGGTGAGCACAGCTGTCGATTCAGATATGCGTTTAGCTAGTTCTTCCTCAAATAGGGATTTAGTTTCCTGATCGAGCTGGGGACGTGATGGTTTTACCGCCAGCTGTTTCCTACGTCCGTTCAGTCGTAAGCACACACGAGCCCGGACCAGTGCGTGATCGGTATCTACACACGTGTTCCAGAAGGAGCGACAATCTCCTACCGACCCACGCCAACGATAGCTTATTGCTATGTGGTCTATTTGTGTCCAGCGTTGGTTTGATGATGGGGGTCGCCAGGTTAAACAGTGTCTCTCCTTGTGTTTAAAGTTAGTGCTTACAAGAAACAAATGATTATCTGAACAGAACTGTAGGAGACGGTCACCGTTGTCGGTTCGCTGGCACGGAACTCCATAGGTGCCACCGACATCCTTCTCAGATTGACACAATTTCCCTACTTGAGCGTTAAAGTCACCAGCTAGAACGACTATATCTGAGCGTTTAGCCTTTCTCACCAAACTAGACAGCTTTTGGTAGAACTCATCCTTCGTTTCATCCGAACTGCAGTCAGTGGGGGCGTAGGCGGAGATTACGAAAAGGCATCGGCGAGTAGTGCAGTCCTTTCTCCTTCTTACTGATCCGTTCAGACGGACAGCACACATTCGGCTATCTACCGGGATCCAGTCAAGCAATGTCTTTTCTGCCCTAGTACTCAGAGCTATCCCTACGCCAGCTAATCCTCGTGAACTAGCTGTGGCATCTCCTGACACCCTCAAGGTGAATTTTGAAGATTCATCCTGTTGGCCAGGTGGGGTTAGGTGAATAACCACACTTGGGTCTTGTATGCGTGTTTCTGAAACACAACATACATCAATGGCTCGAGATGCCAGGGTCTTAGCTAGTGATGCTTGTTGTCCTATTTGGCAAAGTGTCCTAACATTAAATGCTCCTATATGAAATTGGTGGCGTGGCTTTAGGAGACTATCCGTGGTGGTTTTTTGGCTTTCGTCGTTTTTAGTGGACACAGAGTGAAGAGGGAGTGAGGAGCCATCAAGTAGAGGAGTTGCATCACTGGGGGAAGGCAAGGTAATAGAGATGAAGATGAAGACAAAGATAAGTGAGGATTAGAGAGGTTTTGTGTGCGTTTTGGATTGTGAGGGCGATTGTTACTTCCCGGCTGCCCACACCGTGGAAGTTGGTTGCGTGACCGCAGAGCCCAGGGGACAACTGCTTGTGGCCGGTCACACGCGGCCTGTTTTTGTTCGTTCTTTGTTGTTTTGTGTGCCTCAGTAGCATACTTATCACTCCCGCCCTGTGACACGGCAGCAGGAAGCGCGGTCGTTGTTAATCCGGGCCACGGCCGATCCGGCATGAAATTTTGTGAATTTGTTTGGATCATGGTATTGGATGAGGTAGCTGCTTTTTGTTTAACCGCTATCCAAACAACCTGCCTGGCATGGTAGAACCTCAAGAGACATAAGTCTCAGCCAGTATAGCTTGATTAGGTCATTGCGGTGTTCAAGCCCGACCACCACGTCAAGGTAGCAGCTTTCGGTCGGGTTTAAGAAGGTATTCTTTCTTTCTTTGTAAAAGGAATAAAAGGCGCCAGCTGATTGAAAGAAAGAAAGTTTAAGAAGGTATTCTTTCTTTCAATCAGCTGGCGCCTTTTATTCCTTTTACAACTTTTAGTAGGAGATTGAGCATATCGTCTGAAGTCTTTGGGTCTGTTTTCAGTGCTTCTCGATATATTCCATCTAGTCCAGTTGCTTTCCTGTAACTTTCCAG